CCCTCACTCCTCTCACACCACTCTTTCCTCCCTCCCTCCTCCCTCCCTCAGACCCACCCTCTTCTGCCCTCCCTCCTCCCTCACACCACCACTTCCCTCCCTCCCTCCCTCCCCTCACACACCACTTTCCTCCCTCTCCCTCCTCCTCACAACCACCACTTCTCCCTCCTCCCCTCACACCACCTCTTCCTCCCTTCCAGTCTCCTCCCTCCCCTCACAACCCACCTCTTCCTGCCCTCCCTCGCCCTACACACACCTCTTCCCTCCTCCCTCCCCTCACCCCCACCTCTTCCTCCCTCCCTCCTCCTCACAACACATTCTTCCCCCCTCCCTCCCCTCACACCACTCTTCCCCTCCTTCTCCCTCCCTCCCCTCACAACCCACCACTTCCTCCCTCCTCCCTCACACCACTCTTCCTCCCTCCCCTCACACCACTCTCCTCCCTCTCAAGAAATGTTATTGGTACATTATGAAAAACAGTATAATGGCTCCTTGGAAAATCAAAACAGTTCTACCATATGACCCAGCAGTTCATCTGTTGAGTATGTACCCCTCCCCCAAAATGAAATCCACATCTCATAGAGGTATCTCCAGTACTAATTCTAACTCATTCATCACACAGGAAATAAGAGTTTCTATTTGAAAACACTGTTTTTGTTGTTGTTGTTGTTGTTTTCACCATCCTGGTGTCAAATACTTATCCTATTCTAGACATCTCTTCTTATTTCTTGCTTTGTAATAACCTAGGTACTACTACCCATTGACAGAACTAACTCGTTATTCCAACAAGAAATGAGAAATGTTGAGGAGAATGCAATGTTATACTTCTTGTCTTCAACTAGTTATTCTAGTTTTATGGAGGATTCTGTATTTAACTCTTACCCAAGTAACTCTAGTTACTGTATCCACAGTACCTAGTCAACAATCCTAACAAAATAAGAACACAGAGTTGACTAGAATGGTTACTAAACTTTCTATGTTCAGCCAGTTTTCCTACTAATTGCTAGTTGTTTATTCAACTGTTTGCCTAGGTACCATTAAATGTCTAGTTTTATGTCACTAAGACATAAGAAAAAGTATTACAAAGAATATATTTATTACAGGTACTGGCTTCATCTAGTTATCTCTAGCCCAGGAAGAAAAAGTGATTTTGTGGGCCAGGCCCAGGATCCCTGTGTTGTGTGCAGCCTAGGGACTTGGTGCCCTGTGTCCCAGCCACTCCAGCTGTGGCTGAAAGGAGCCAACATACAGCTTGGGCTGTGACTTCAGAGGGTGGAAGCTCCAAGCCTTGGCAGCTTCCACGTGGTGTTGTGCCTGCAGGTGCACAGAAGTCAAGAATTGAGGTTTTGAAACCTTCACCTAGATTTCAGAAGATGTATGGAAACGCCTGGATGCCCAGCTAAATGTTTGCTGCAGGGGTAGGGCCCTCATGGAGAACCTCTGCTAGGGTAATGTGGAAGGGAAATGTCAGGTCGGAGCCCCCACACAGAGTTCCTACTAGGGCACTGCCTAGTGGAGCTGTAAGAAGAGGGCCATCATCCTCCAGACCCCATCATGGTAGATCCACTGACTGTGGGCCTGGAAAAGGCACAGACACTCAACGCCAGCCCATGAAAGCCAGGAGGAAGGCTGTAACCTGCAAAGTCACAGGGACGGAGCTGCCCAAGACCATGGGCACCCACCTTTTGCATCAGCGTGACCTGGATGTGAGACCTGGAGTCAAAGGAGATCATTTTGGAGCTTTAAGATTTGACTGCCCTTCTGGATTTTGGACTTGCATGGGGCCTGTAGCCCCTTTGTTTTGGCCAATTGTCCCCATTTGGAATGGCTGTATTTACCCCATACCTGTGCCCCCATTGTATCTAAGAAGTAACTAGCTGACTTTTGATTTTACCGGCTTATAGGCAGAAGGGACTTGCCTTGTCTCAGAGGAGACTTTGGACTGTGGACTTTTCGGTTAATGCTGAAATGAGTTAAGACTTTGTGGGTCTTGTTGGGAAGGTATGATTTGTTTTGAAATGTGAAGTTTTGGAGGGGCTAGGAGTGGAATGATATGGTTTGGCTGTATCTCCACCCAAATCTCACTTGAATTGTATCTCCCAGAATTCTCATGTGTTGTGGGAGGAACCCAGGGGGAGGTAATTGAATCATGGGGGCCAGTCTTTCCCTTGCTATTCTCATGATAGTGAATAAGTCTCATAAGATCTGATGTGAGATCCAGGTTTCTGCTTTTGCTTCTCCTCATTTTTCTCTTGCCACTGCCATGTAAGAAGTGCCTTTTGCTTCTCACCCTGATTCTGAGGCCTCCCCAGCCTTGTGGAACTATAAGTCCAATTAAACCTCTTTTTCTTCCCAGTCTCAAGTATATCTTTATCAGCAGCATGAAAACGAACTAATATAATACCATAGGTACTTTAGGGGAGGATTGAGTGGAACTGGACAAATATGTCCAGGGTCCTCCAAGCTAACTGCTAGGTCATTACTAGAGGGCAGGTCTTTCCTCATTCAAACACAAACACAGACCAGCAGCATCACATTGACTGACTCGAGAGAGAGAATAGACAGAGACATCCCTGCTCTTTTACTCAGGTCCCAGAACAATCAATTCCACCACTGGGAAAAATTAAAGTGGGTGTTTGTTTTCTGTAGGTGCTGGTGCTGTCTTTTTTTTTTTTTTTTTTTTTTTTGGGTTGGATTTGCAGCTTTTGCAAAAGTATCACCTCCTTCGCCCTTCTCTTTCTCTTCCTCCTCCCATACCTCCTCTTCCCTCACCTTCTTCTTCACCTTCTCTCTGTGTCTCTCTTTCTATGTGTGGTGGCAGATAAACATGAGAGCGTATAATAAGGGGCATATATAGGTCTATCTATCTATCTATCTATCTATTTATCTATCTATCTATCTGTCTATCAATCTGTCCTTAAAGATATGTATATCTCTAAAAACTTAATTTATAGATGGTGCAATAGCCTTTATGTGTCAATATTATATTTTTGATCATTTACTCACGAACTTAAGTGGGTTAAATACATGACTCTTAAAATCTGTATAATACTCTTTTTTATGCAGGGTCCATGATGTACCTACCTATTTTATATGATTTGGCTCTTTGAATTCAAATCTCATCTTGAATTGTACTCCCATAATTCCCACATGTTGTGGGATGGACCTGGTGGGAGATAATTTGAATCACGGGGGCAGTTTCCCCCATATTGTTCTTGTGGTAGTGAATAAGTCTCATATGATCTGATGGTTTTATCAGGGGTTTCTGCTTTTACATCTTCCTCATTTTCTCTTGCCACCACCATGTAAGAAGTGCCTTTTGCCTCCCACCATGATTCTGAGGCCTCCTCAGCCATTTGGAACTGTAAGTCCAATTAAACCTCTTTTACTTCCCAGTCTCGAGTATGTCCCTATCAGCAGCATGAAAACAGACTGATACACTATTTATTCTTATACATGGGCTATTTTGATCTTTTCCATTTTCTAAAATTAAGACAGGATTGGATTTAGGATGCTTCTTTGACATGACTGTGACCCTGCATGCTGGTTAGCCAGAGCCTGTGGTATGTGACTGTGAAAGAAAAGCTCTTAGTTTCATGTAGCAAGAACAAGAGTTGACTTAAAATCAGCTACTCAGAAAAATAAATACATCAAATAATCATCCAACTGTGTATCTGGAAGGTGTCGAGAAAATCCGTAAAATAATAATATTATCATTGTCATTGTGACCAAGATGGAAGAAATAAGACTGGTTTGTATCCAGTCAGGCAGGTTATATAGTCTCACTTCAGTTGAAGTATGTTTTTTCAACATGATTATATTTCAATGCTACATGACCATTTTTAAAGCAGCATTTACTCTGAATAAATTTGAAGACCTCTCATCATTTTAACCAGTTTTATATATGTTGACAATCTGGGTAAGAGTTGTCTATGATCAGGAGAAAGATTTGGTGGGTAAGAAAATCGTGAGGCATGTTTAGAAGTTGAAGAGGAGAAATTCAGATTCTGTGACCTGTTAGGTCTGTTTTTAATCTATTTCTGAGTCATCTACAATTTTGATGATCTTTTGGTTGTTCCCCCAAATTCATCAAGTGAGCTCACCTTTTAATTATTGTTATCCACTGATCCAAATCGTTCAGAATATAGTTTTTGCATTTATTTATGTTTTTACTTTTGTGTCCTTTTGTATCCTTTTTCTTCATAGGTCTAATGAGTCGTTGATACTGTACTGTATGGATGTACTGTGCTGTATGGATGGCTCTCTCTTTTCACTGTATTATGTAGAAATGAAATACAATCCATAGCAGGAAGCACAAAGAGGAGTTTGGCAGTTAGGCCTCCTTATGTCTCAGAATTGTGTCCTGAGAAACATAACTGAGAAAATGGCTTCTGGACACCAGAGGACACTTGAGATTCTCAGAGACAAGGCATGAACAGTCCCAACAAAAGACTGTCCTTCTCACTCATTTGATGTTTGTATCAGCTGAAAACCAAAAGATTGTGAAGCAACACTGGAATGGAGACAAGGCACAACATAAAACATAAAGAATACATGAAGACAAAGTCCATCAGAAAACCCTGAAGAATTTGGTACTCCTGAGTGTTCATATTGAGTAGTTTGGGAAGCTTGGGCTGAAAATTTAGGTCAACATTTGTGGATGGCTATATATATATATATATATATATATCCTTTACCTATGAACTCATATGGGTTGAAAACATGACTTGGCCAGTAGTGGTGGCTCATGCCTATAATCCTAACAGTTTGGGAAGCAGAGACGGGCGGATTGCCTGAGCTCAGGAGTTTGAGATCAGCCTGGGCAACATGGTGAAACCCTGTCTCTACTAAAATACAAAATATTAGCCCGGTGTGTTGGCATGTGCCTGTAATCCCAGTTATTCGGAAGACTGAGGCAGGAGAATCACTTGAATCCGGGAGGCGGAGGTTGCAGTGAGCTGAGATTGTGCCACTGCACTTCAGCCTGGGTAACGGAGTGAGACTCTGTTCAAAACCACCACTACCACCACCAACAAAAACATGACTCTTAAAAGGTGTGTAATTCTCTCTTCATTATTTACCTACATAGGTATACTTTTTGCTGAGAAGAGAAAACATACATATTTATTCCTAGGGGTGAATCTTTTTCTTCCCCTGATCTCCTGCTATTTCTCGAATTAAAATTCAAGGAATATTGTATGGGCTTTTATGAGTAACAGTAGATGCAATGTGCAATAATTCATTTGCAAAATTATAAAAACACTACCCAAATCGACATCTCTGTAATACGTTTCTCTAGAGAAGACAAGGATATAACATCAAATGGCCTCTCAATGAGTGTATACGCAAAGGCCCAAGAAGTGTGTATCTGCAATGCCCTGATAAACTGTTGACTTCAAAAGGACTGCACACAGTTTGCTCGCAAGCATCAACAATCAGAAGTAAAGCACTTGGCCTTTTTCAGAGTCTCCAGATATTTCTATCGATCCAAGAACCACATTTCCTGTGCAACAATAGTCCTGAATCTTGCTGCTGTTTTTGGACCTTTTCCTATCTGGTATTTGGGAAAGCAGTTTGTCAGGGAGGAAGGAGAATGACAGAGTAGACATTGAGTACCTCTATATATCTCATAGCCCCTATCGAGAGGCTCAGTATAAGAGTTAGAGGGGTGATTCATTCCTGACAACCTCATATGATTACAGGAGGGCCTTACTTCCTTCCTCTGAGGCTGCCCTTCCTTATTCCATTTGATAGTCTCTGCCAGTGCTAGAAAATTAATGATAGTCACCCAAAAGCTTCCCCTGTCTCTGAACGCAGAACATAATTAGGACATTATCATCATCATCATCATCATCATCATCATCATCATCAGATAAGAATTTCTGGTACCATCAGCAGCATAGCAATATATCCTTGTCCTTTTCTGATACACTGAAAAAATCAAAATGAAATGATTCATACCTCACACTCCATTTAAGCATGGCCACTGGAGCCCACATAGCATTAACTTCAAGAACAATGATAGAAATGTCCTTATGCAAAGCACATCTCACTCTCTGTAACAGTTCAAACTCCATAAATGTCAGCAAACTGCCTTCTGGGAAGAACGGATAAAAAAGGCTAAATTGCTACAAATCTATGCCCCCGAAAGAGACAATAGGAAATCATTTTGCAATAGCCAAGTGCACAAAATATAATATTATAAAATACGGAGCTGGAAATCACAAATTGGAAATAAAAATGGGGACCTCAACCCCTGCAGAAAGTGAGATAATCAGCTACTATATAATGACTAAGAAAAAAGGGGAGAAGAGCTACAATTTACAATAATAACAAACCATTATTCTGAAGTGAAGTTGGAAAGATAATCTTTACAATATGGAGAGAAAGATGGAATTAAACCAATGCTACAAAATGATTTGTTCGTATCTGAAGAGGCAGTGTGAGTGAATCATGTTCACACAAACACTTTATTTTCCCATGTCAATAGAGTTATTGCATATGAATTTTCAATTTTATTTGTTCAAAACATGATTTTATAATTTTAAACAAAGAGGCAATTTTAGCAAAGCAGGATATGAAACATGTCTGGGATACGTACCCTTTTTGAGAAAGAGCTCAGGCTTTTTCCTATTCAATAGTGATGTTTTAGACTCATGGTCTCTCATGAATGACTCCTTGTAGAGGGTAGGGGGATGGATAATCATTCAAGTTAGAATTGTTAGTTCTGATACTGGCAATAAGTTTGGGTTGGGTTTTGTAATATCTTCCGTCATTTATATCGCTTACTTCTTTTGGAAGAGCATTTTCCTCGATAATCTACTCACACCCTGCATCTCGTCCAGCAGCAAGTTTTCATCTGTGTCTTGCAAATGTGCTATGAATCTGATGGCTTTGGCCCATGTCTGCTTGCACCTCCTGTCTGAGCCCCTAGGCCATTCTGCTTTTCTCACAATACCCCTTCACACCACCTTCCACTTGGTAACCGGAATGGTCCTATAAAATTGTAAATCAGGCCTTCTTATTGAGAGGCTACTAACCTGTCCATCGCTCTCCATCTAAAGTAATGAAACCCATCTTTTCCCCATGGTACATCACTTTTATCTCTCTGAGTTTTCCTCTTACAACTCTCTCTCCTCCTGTTCATTATGCTGTGAACGCACCACACCTTTCTAGAACCTTTATCTCAGCAGTTTATCTTGCCAGTTCTTAGTTGCACTGCCAGAAATACATACTCCTCACATTTATTTTTCATGGTAGGTTCCTTCTCACCACTCAATTTTCTGCTCACTTGTTGCATCCACCAACTTATGCAGCTGTACCTGCCCCCAACTTACCCGTTGGCCTGTTACTCTTTCCTTTTCTTCACAGAGGCTCATCTCATCCAATGTCATCTTCTGTTCCATTACCCTCTTTCATTTTCTTCATTGTTCCTAATTTTAACCAATAACAGCTGTTTTAGTGTGTTATGTACCATCTGTCTCACACCGATTTAAGTATCAGCTCCAGAAGACAAAAAGCCTTGTGGTTTTGTTCATTATTCTCTTTCTAGCACCTAAAACCACTCAGAACCCAGAATGCAATCTTTAAGTGTTTGTTGAGTTAATGAATGACTCCATTCCTTGGTGTTTTCAGGAAACAGGACAATAGACAGGCAGCCAAGCTAGGATCTGGGAGTTGATGCCCTGAATTTGCTCCAGTGCTATCTGTCCCTTCCTGGCATTGCTGTTAGAAGCTTCTCTGAAGTGGTTACTGCGGCCAGCAGCACCCTCCCCAGGCCCTTCAGAATGGCGCCAGCTAACTTGCTAGCAGTTCCCATTAACCATCCTGAGCCAGCACCGACATTTATTCACTCACCACTCAGAACCTGTGAGTGGTCATTTATTTGCCTTTTTTTTTTTTTTTTTTTTTTTACCCAGTCCTCTGTGAAGCAATGACTATGGCCATATGGATGAGATAGCAACAGCAAAGGTGATGCTTCCATGAGGACATATCAAATACTGCATTGCCCAGGTGTGACTATCAAGAAATAGTCCTAGCAAGCTGCAAGTCCTCTCTTCTTTCTTTTCGATGTTGCCAGGAGGATGGTGTCCTTGGTGGTGGTAGGTATGACTCATGGTACACGGTGGTATGTGTGAGTGAAGGTGTGTGTGAATGTGTGTATGACCCTGTGTCTGTATGCCTGTGAGTGAATTTGTGTGAGTACATGCATGACTCTGTGTGTGTGGGTGGGAGGAGGGCTTTGCTGCTGATGGAAGAGAGCCTGAGAGCACACGGGACAGGTAGGTGAACTGAACTTTCATTCCTGCTTGCCACTCAAGCATTTCTCTCCTCCATATTGGGAGCGAACAGGACACTTTGTTACTGATTGGAGATGGCTCACACGCGAAAAATTGGTTTCCCCCAAAAAATGTTTATAGTCATGCACTGATTAATGATGGGGATACATTCTGAGAAATGTGAGATTGGGCAATTTTGTCATTGTGCAAACATTAGAGAGTGTGCTTGCACAAACCTAGATGGTATAGTCGACTACTCACCTAGGCTATATGGTATAGCCTATTGCTCCTAGGCTACAAACCTGAACAGCATGGTACTGTACTGAATACGGAAGGCAATTGTAACACAATGGTATTTTCATATCTAAACATAGAAAAGGTAATGTGTTGTGCTACAATATTAGTAGGTGATAGAATATTTTCAGCTCCATTATAATCTTATAGGACTACCATTGTATATGTGGTCCATCATTGATCAAAATGCCATTATGCTGTGCATCTATACTTTTGTTTTTCATTTCAGTCATAACAATACAACACCAACAACAATTATAATGATAAATATCCATTTTCTGCTTACTTTTGCCAAGCACTTTTCTAGGAAGATTACACATGTTAATTTACTTAATTCTTATAGCACCCATGGATTAGGTATTTTTCTCATCATTAGTGTTTTGTCGATGGAACAATGGAAGAACAAAAATAATTTTGCAATGTGGACATTGGCAAAATTGATATGCATGGAAATATGACTTGCAGGACTGATTTATAGCACACCCTTTGGGATAAACCTTTGTCTTCCCACAATTATAGAGAAAGAAGAAGGGCATTTGATATGGAGTTAAATGGCATAAATGGCCCTTGACCTAGCTGACAAAAAGAACAACTCTTGCCCCTTATTAGGATATCACTTTCAGCCTCTCTAATGCTCAATTTTCTCACTATGAAATGAGATTAGCGCCTGCCTCACAGAATATTGAGGAAATTAAATGAGCAAATGTATGTGAGAAGACATTTTAAACTGCAAGCACTATATTAACATGATATATTTAAAGCACACCATCAATAGCCTGGGTCCTTTAGCTATTTGGGTCCTTTAGCTATTTCAATGTAATTCACCAGTATAGGTTTGTAGAGGAATATGACAATTGAAGATTGGTGTTTCAGAATTATCTAATCGTCATCTCTAAAGATACACTCTTGCAACTACATGTAATGGACACATTTACTTCCGCTCCCGTCCCTTCAATTATGATAATGTCCTCTGTAAACTTCTCCTGCATATATTAGCTAATATATTTTCTGATACCCATTTCAGCCCCTTGGAGAAACTCCTCTTAGGATCCTTTCAAGCATCCTAAGCCTCCTAGACTTTTTGGCTTCTTTGTATTTCATTTGACGCATTGTTCCTCTTTTATTGTTTTTAATTTTCATCACCTAGACACAGCCTTCACGTAATCATCTTTCATGTTTCTGAATACTGCTTCCATTCTGATGGTTCTTCTTTCCCTTTCCTCAGTAACTGTGGACCTCCTTAACATTTTGACCTAAGGAGCTCACTTATCCACTCATGCATGTGTCTCTTTTCAGAGATCTAATTAGTTTTTAAGATGTGCTGTGGGCGGTTCTAGGCAAAATTACATCAGTGACATTTTACATCTTCTCCCTCACCTCTCTGCCTTTTCTCAGTGTTGCCCAATTGCCTGTTTCTCTGATGCTCTTATAAAGTTCCAAGTGTCTCAGGGCCCCCTTCCTGTACAACATGCAGGATTTTCTGGTAATTTTTTGTCGAATTCCATCATCAAATCTTAGCATTTCTGAGTTTACTGCATTGTCAGGGGGTAACAACCAAACTAACGAAATGAAGATTTTACAACATTTTTATTTTGACCAAGCCCGCTCCTGCTTACATTTAAAGAAGTAGATAAATTCTGAACAAGAGAAGAAAGAGAGTGAGAAGAAGGAGGGGAAGGAGAAAAAGCAGAAGGAGAAAGAAGAGGGAGAACTAAGTAGAAATCTGGGAGGGTTTTGTTAGCTTCAGGTTGCATCACAGGGATAGATGCTAAATCATTTAGAGCACTTAAGAGATTTTCTTGAATATTTATAACAGGGTAGAAAGTTCTTGTCCAGGAGGAGATCCCAAGTCTCACCAGGCATAAGACCTGCTACCAGAGGTGTTGTCCAATCTAATCTTGCTTTGAAGGGACTACTCTGATTTATTTGTATGTTTTAATAACTTCAAAAAGATGTAATGAACATTTCTTTTTCATTTTATGCCTTGCCCCTACTTTTTTTTCTTTTTTACTTTTTTCTTTTTCTTTTCGTTTTTTTTTTTTTTTTTGAGACAGGGTGTTGCTCTGTTGCCAAGTCTAGAGTTCAGTGGCACTATCATAGCTCACTGCAGCCTTGAACTCCTGGGCTCAAGTGATCCTTCCACCTCAGCCTCCTGAGTATGTGGGACCACAGGCATGCATCACCATGCCTGATTAATTTTTTAAGTTTTTTTTGGAGAGATGGGTTCGCCCTATGTGGCCCAGGTTCATCTCAAACTCCTGGGCTCAAGCAATTTGCCCACCTCAGCCTCCCAAAGTGCTGGAATTATAGGCATGAGCCACCATGCCCAGCCTCCTTCCCTCTTTTGCACACTATGAACCATTTACTAATCCATCCATCCATCCCATCATTCTATATATTGTCTTACCATCATTCATTTGTTTAATAAATATTAATCGAGTACTTTTTCAAGCCAGATACTGTGCCATGTTGCAGAAGCAGACCCAGTCCTTACTTACTGTTTAGCAGGAGAGAAAGGCATCACATTCAGAGGTTCCAGTAAACCCAGAGGTATTCACATAGAACCCGAATAACACTTTATAACCTCCACTCCCCTGTTCACTTCACTTCTGCATACCAAACAAAGTTTTCAGTAACAATCCATTGCCCTTTCATCCAGCATTGCTCTCTTTCACTAAGAAAGGTGTCACAATAGTAAAGTGAAGTTGTGGGCACAGGAAAGGAAACAGATAACTCACTTATTGTCAATCATAAGTAGAGCCTGGCAAAGTGGTCTTCTTGCTGAACAGGCTTTAAAGGTAACATCAACCCCCATTTTCACCTAAAACCATGTGAAAAGCTGCAGTCCTACCCCAACCCCTGAAACAACTCTGGCAGGGTCCAAACTAATATCCCAATGTCTAGGACACCCTTGGGGGCTCAAGCCCCATGTCTGCAGCAGCCTTCAATCTGCAACTTTGCATTTAGCGATTGACTTGGTTTGCCCACAGACATCCTGACATCCATACCAAAAATATTAGACTGATAGTTTGTATGCTTTATTTACAAACCACCCCATGTTCCTTCAGCCAAGGCACACTGACCTCCTGGCAGTCCCGTCCACCAGAAAACATCCTCAGTTTTGTTTTCCCTGTTCCTTCTGCAGTACATATATATAGTCCATAAACTGACATTGGAATTCCTAGTCTACTTTGCATGTAAATTCTTGAACATCCAAAGTGGCTTTTTCATTTTATATGCAACGAATCAGTAATAAAAGCCAACTTCTTTAATTCATTCACTGTATTCCTCTGGAGGGAAATGCAAGTAATAAAAATCATGTTAGGACAAGCATATTAGGTGTACTTCTCTGCTCTGAGGTACTATGCTTTTATTTGATTTACGATGAGCCTCAGACTATACAAATAGATAAATAGTTCATAGGAATTAATTCTTTTGTTGGTAAAATATTATTTTATTAAGTTTTATTGGATTTTAAACATTGTGCCATTAACCAAAGGTGTATTAGACTTTCCCAAGTGGATGTTTTCTGTTTAATAAGTGAATTAAAGTTCAAAATAATAGATAACTTTAAAATACTTTTGAGTGCAAAAGTTTTGAGTGCAAAATTTTGTTGATTTAAATGGCAAGTTATTAAATGACTTATTATGTAGAAGGTCTTGCTCATTGAAATACCACCATATAGCCATAAAAATTCTAGTTTTAAATGTTAAAAGAGAAGGTGGACTCTAGTATAAATTAATTTAATCCTTTAGAGTCCATACAAATATTGGAAATAGCCTCCTTGTGGAACAAAAATCTTTTAAAAAAATCACACACACACAGAAATATATTTGTACTATATGTATGATTGTATGTAC